CTGTCAATTCTTATTATTTCAGCTGGTTCAATTTGTAAACATATAACTTTCCTGAGCCTTTGGATCTTTTACTTGCAATTCCTTGTAGAGATATAGATTAAAAAGCGGTGGAGAGGGTTATTGCTAGTTCAACATAATGGAAATTTTAACCAGCAAGGCAAAAAAAATAAGCAGATACATTAAAAAGAAAATAAAGCCTGGCATGACAGCAGAAGGCGATGAACTACACAGAAAATACTAAGACATCAACACAGGATGTTGCAACTTTACAGGATGAAAACATTGACTATATTTCTACATATACAGGCAGTAAATATATAGATTGAAATTAATAGTATAATTTACAATTGCACAAAGAAAATATACTGTTATAAATCTACAAAGCACAAAATACTGAAGAAAGGAATCCAAATTAAGAGAAGTTATGTACTATATTCATGGATTAGAAGATTCAACATAGTAAAGATGTCAATTCTCCTCAAATTTATTTGTATGTGTTTCACAATTTCTATAACAACTTCAGTATATTTTTTACAAATATGAACACATTTAGGGGGTTGGGAGTAGATGTGTATGCACAAGTGTGTGTGCAGGAGCTCCCAGGTGTATAGATGCATAGGCTGGAGTTTGTGAGGTGCCCTGTCCTACTGCTTACCACTTTATTTTCTTGAGATAAGGTCTCTCACTGAACCAGGAGCAAGGTTAGCAGCCAGTAAGCCCCAGGGATCCTCCTTTTTCCCCTCTTCATTGTACTGAGTGACAGGTAAGCATGAGACCACCAGCAGCTTATGTGGGCTCTGAGCATTGAAACTTAGGCCCTCATGCTTACACAACAAGTGCTCTTACCAAAAGAATCATCTCCTCAACCACTTGTGTTTTGAGACAGGGTCTTAATATGTAGCCCATGCCGGCATTGAACTAATAATCTTGCCTCAGCCTCCTGGGTAGTGGGTTATAAGAATTTGCTACCACATGCCACCCAATTTTATGTGGCATGGCAAAGGAATTAACTAGACAATCTAAATTTGAAAAGTACAATAGGAGGAAACATTCAACCCAACTGTGTATGTTACCATGGAACTAATCAAGACAATTGTAGGTGGAGGGATAAAGACACAAAATCAATCAAAATTGAATAGCAGACCCACAAATAGATACATAGATGATTTTTAATAAAAGTACAAAGGAAGGACTGTGCATACAGAAAGGCTTAGCCTTTTAACAAGTGCTATTAAAGCAATTGGACATTTAAAGGCCAAAAAAAAAGAAGAGAAAAAAGAACCTCACAAGTTACATAAAAAATAAATATAAAATGAATAAAGAAACTTAAACAAAAATAAAAAATAAATAAATAAAAATGAATTGTAGATTTAAATGTAGAACACAAGAGTATTTTAAGACAAAACCTTGAAGATCCAAAACTAGATAAGAAAAATCTTTAGAAAGGACAATCTATATAAAAGAAAAACAAAATAAAAAAAATTAGACTTAAATAAAATGAAAACTTTTGCTTTTTAAAGGAAGGAAAAACAAGCTATACATATTATCATGTTAAGTTGAATAAACAATCTGTAAAGTATAGCATAGCATGTTTGCTGTCAAAAACAGAATCTAGGTGTGTGTGTGTCCCCACAGAAGCTGGACTTTGTATAACAAAGATGTCTTTTTTTTTTTTTTTTTTTTTTTTTTTTGGTTTTCCGAGACAGGGTTTCTCTGTAGCTTTGGAGCCTGTCCTGGACTAGCTCTGTAGCCCAGGCTGGCCTCGAACTCACAGAGATCCGCCTGGCTCTGCCTCCCGAGTGCTGGGATTACAGGCGTGCGCCACCACCGCCCGGCAACAAAGATGTCTTAAGGCAGTGGTTCTCAACATGTGAGTCATGACACCTTTGAGGCTGACTGACCCTTGCACAGGGGTCACCTAAGACCATCACAAAGCATTTACATTATGATTCCTAGCAGTAGCAAAATTACAGTTATGAAGGAGCAAAAAAAAAATAATTTTAATGGTTGGGGGGTCACCACAACATGAGGAACTATAATAAAGGGTCACAGCATTAGGAAGGTTGACAAACACCGTCTTAAGGTAACAAAATCATACATACAATCAATCAATATACTTGCTTACCTACATATTCTTCTACCTACCTATCCATCCATCCGTCATGAAAGCAGAAAGTGTACTATTTAGAAGAAGAGGACCAGAGGAAGAAAACGGAGAGATTAATAGAAGAGTGAATGTGAGCCAAGTACAATGACATCCGTATATAAAAATGTCACAAATAAAATCCATTTTGTATGAAAATTTTAGAAATTTAAAAACAGCAACAATACAAACAAAAAGTCAAGCTATATAGCATTGCAAAAATATGTGTAAACTGCAAGTGTGACAAAGGATGGACGTGTACAAAACATAAGCAATACTTGATCTGCACTAGTCAGGGACCATAAAATAACCATTTAAGCTGAAACTACACAAAACAACCTAATAAACAGCAGAAAGTTTTGTAATTGTTGACTTTTAAATCATTGTCAAAGCTTCCTGTTTTATATATGTGTACATATATATAGTACATTTATGAGCATACACAAATTTTAAAAGTACTAAAACTAACATTTATTTAGCACAGTATACTTTGACATTAGAAACTTTAAGAACAGTGCTTTATCGTGACATAACCTACAATACAGAGATCATATCTTTCCTAAATGGTCACCCTGAGTGTTCATACTGTCGTCTAAGTTGGATCAGCTTCTAACATTTTGTGTTGCATTTTAATATTGTGAGATGTCTCTGGGTTCCGTTATTAAAGAACTTTTCCCCAGCTATGTCAAGAGGTTTATGACCATCAAATCCCACTAGCTGCATACTCACCTAAATGCCCCAGTGTTAACATTCTTATCAACTATTGACTACAGAATCCCATTTGTGCCTCATTAAAATTTTATTTCACCTTATAAATTACATTTATGTGCTGTACTTTCATCTTTGTTGGGCAATTCCATTTTTAAGTGATTTGTTTTTATAAAGTGTCATCGGGATTTACTGCCAAAGACTCAGAGGCTACAGAACATGTACTTTGATTTCTACCTTAATAGAAGGTCTATAGCGTTCACCAAAAGTTTTGAAAGAAGCAACTGGTCACTGACTATGACACCCACCCAGCTGTGCTGCCATTGAACTTCATGGACTGGAGAGCTAGCAACAAGGTTTGTACTTTATGCAAGCACAACTAATCCGCCATATTAACTGAAATTTGAGCTATGTGGATTACCTAAACCATGACGGGAAGGGGAAGGCATGCACAGACAGTGGTGTTTAAACAAAGAATTCTCAGAACTCTGGGGCTGAAAAAAGTCAAGGTAAAAATAGAAAGAAGACATGAGCAGACATGTTGACAAAAAGAATATACAGATTTAAAAAAAAATAGTTCCTAAAGATATGGTCAACCACAATTTGCATCTACTAAAACATCAAAAAAAATTATTCATGACAATAACAAAGACTGGCAAGAAACTGAAAATACTCTACCCCTCAAAGAGAAATAGTGAGGATTTAGAGGTCTAGTCACTTTGCAAACTAGTTTCACAGCTTTAAAAAATACTTATACAGCTATCTTACCATTCAGAAACTGCACTCAAGGGTCTGTCTATCAAAGTAAAAATTATGTCCACACATTCTTGTGCTGATGATTATTCTATGAGCTCTACTTTTCCCCAAACAGAAACAGCTCATGTCCTTCAATAGGTTGAACATTTGAACATACTGTGTCACATTCATACCATTAAATGCACTCAGAAATTAAGGAAAACTATTGGTACAGAAGTTGGTGAATCTCCAGATTATAGGGGGTGGGGGTGGGAAAGAGGTCATCTAACAGGCATGGTGTCTAACTGATACAGACTGTCATTGAATAGTTTCAAAATGACAAAATTATGAAGCAGTCAAACAGATTAGATGACCGTAGGTGTTGGAACAGGAGTATTAATTAGTAACAGAGGTAGCACAAAGGACTGCTGTGTTGATGTAATATTTCTATATCCTGACTGTGATACTGACATAAATCTACTCGTGATGAAAGATAAAACTACACAGAACTACACACACTCAAAATGAGGACACAGACTAAAAAAAAAAATCCAACAAAAAAGGTGTAGTGGTGCACACTTGTTATCTCAGTACTCAAAGGGGGTGTGGTGACATAGAAAACTAAACAGATCTGAAATGATGTGATTTGACCTCCAAATGCATCTAGGTTTTTTTCATCATTCCTTCCTTCAAAACAGTGTTTTATAACATATACCATAGCCCAAGCTAGCCCTATATTCCTGGTGGTCCTTCCATTTCAGCCTCCTGAGTTCTGGGACTACAGGCTTTAACCACCACAGCTGTATTCTAAAGTAAAACATTTTAAAAAATGACCTCTAACCCTGTGATGCCACTTCCAGGCATTTATCCATGATATATTCATATATACAGCTCCATGTATTTCATACATGGATATAGTACATATAGGGATGTCATTGTACCAGTGACATAACAGCAAACAATTGTACCCATCTAAAATGCTTACATGGTGCTCGCATAGCCATAGTGGAAGAGTATGTAGCCAGTTAAAAGTTTAGGATAGGTACTAAAGAATATGAATTTTAACAATAACACAACCACCCTACCACTACAAGTTAATGTTTCTGACAAACATAACTGTACTGTTATTTAGTGGTTGTGATACTCTTCATTGCCAAATGTACTAAGAATTATGAACTTAGAATTAAAGAGCAATTGCAGAGCGGACTACTGAAGAGGAAGACCCACCCCGAAGGTGGGTGGCACCATGGAATATAAAATAACAGAAGAAAAAGGGAAGCCAGTGCAGTGTCAACATCCTCCTCTGTTGTGCCTCTTTTCCTTCAGACATGAAGAGTGGGTTCCATCAAGTGCTCCTTCAGCACATGCACATGAGACAAGTATCATGTATCATGGAATGATCCCTCCGAAATGGTGAACTCAAATAATTCCTTTTTATTTCAAATCAGATATTTTGTCACATTGACAAGTAACCAATACAGTGTTACAGGTCTCTAAATCTGAGCAACATACTTCAGGGAGCATGCAAGATGATTCACTGAAGTACTGGGTAGGAGGGACAATAAGATGAGTATTTGTATTTAAATTAAGGTTTATTAATAAATAACAGATATATTGATACAGATGCTGTTACTTGATCTGGATACAAAGCAAATTAAGAACAAGCCCTGACAGTGGTGCCCTGACTCCCTCATTTACCAATAATTTACAGACATCTCACAAAACAGTAAAGTAGCACAAGAGGATCAGAAGGGGAAATGACAAACAGCCATAGTAATTCAAGAAAATGACACAACTGAACCTTCTCCTAAATTTGCTCTTTGCTAAATTACAAGGTTAAAAGTTATGAAAACAGGTAACCAAAAAGTCCAATTTTTTTAGAAAACAAGTGCTACCAGAAGAGTATTTTGAAAAGGCTTACTGAAATACTTTGGGCTTGTGCTTTTGTGGCTGAAAACCTAGCTTATTACCTAGCAAAAATTTCAAGCTTCACAATGTAACAACTTGGAAATAACTTCTAGACCTACTTTAAAATCTCCAAAACATCAATACAAATTATTTTTTTAATATTCCAAAGTGCTTCTGTAAGCTTTAGAAAGCTTTTTCTTAAAAAAACACTAACTTGGATTAGGTGCTAAAATAAACGTTAATCTTCCAAGAAGCCAAGCCTTTGTTCTCAGGGTCTACAAAAGCTAGAATATGTTTACTCTCTTCATTCCTACTTCTGGATTTTGCTAAAACAGCTCAGTATGACAGTGGTACATTTTCCATAGAGTAGGGCATATTGACTTGAACACATCACATTCATACAACAAATTCTCAGTTACTCTACCATAGGATATTCATTTTGATTAATTTGATATTTTAAAAGTTTTATGTTCCTCAGATAAAGCTACAACTGGGCATTGCCTACACATTGGAGAGTAACCTTCTGACAAGATAATCTTATCTGAAGAGACTTGGTTACAGTCTTAAGTCTAGAAGTGGGCTTTTCTTCTTCCTTTGCACATTCCTTTTTAGCCTGAAACTCAAAGACCCTTTTCACACAGTAAATGGGTATTTCAAATATTTCAAAAGTAAACTGATCCTCTCAGCTGCTACCATTCCCAAATTCCATACTTATAACAGTCTTGTTCACTCTAGTCGCAGGAATACTTTTTCAATTCTCAAGCAAAAAAAAAAAAAAAAAGTTGGAATGTTGCTGACTCTATTGTCTCACAATACACCCAATCTCTGTACTTTGAAATTAGCTCCAAAACCTGACCATTTATCACTTTTCCACCAGTATCATGGGAGCCTAAGCCTTTATTACCTGTCTAAATTACTGCAGTAATTAAAGATCTGGTCTTCCTGGGTTTTCCCTTTTTAACTAAACATGGTCTATTCTTTAACCAGTCAGTGACTCTTCAATCACTTTGAGTCATTATCATTCCTCTCAAAAACTCTCAACAGCTTCAGCATTAAACCAAGAAAAGCCCCAGCCAATGGTCTTCCTTGGTCCATGAGACATCACAGAAGCTTGTTTCCTACTGCATCCGCTACCTCATTAGCCCAGTGGCCTCCTTGTCAGTTCTCTAAACAGTAACTATGACCCTAACTCTTCCTACTTTGAGTGCTTTCTTCCTATATAGTCACAAAGCTAACTGCTTCACCTACTGCACAAATGTCACTTTATTTGCCTCTGGCCATCCATGTAAAATGGTAATTTGGGCCAAAGATGTAGCTCAGTGGCAAACACTTGCTAGAGTGTACAAGGCCCTGGGGTTTGATTCTTTGTGCTGTAAAATAGTTAAACTCTGCCACTTTGTTTTTGTTCATTAACACAGTACTTTTCACTGGCACAAATCAAACAATAAAAAAAAAATATCCAGATGAAATAGAACTATATTTTCTCCCAGTGTTGCCTGGAATCAAAATTCTTTCAACTACTGGAATTTTTCTCTAGTATTTACAAGTTGTGCCCAATACAACTTGCTTTTACTGGCTATTCTTAGCCACACTCAATATTTTCTATTTGTTTCTTGGAGGTTATGACCTTCATATCTTTCGAGTTTTGCCTTCTTAGTAAATTATTAATCTGGTAACAATTTTGGCCACTCTTTTCTTTGCTACTATTTTTGTGGTTTTATTTTGCTTTATAGAAAGTATAGTCTATAAATTGTCTCAGATAACATTTGAAAATTCAAATTGTCCTTCATCTAACCAACAGGGCCTTTTCATTACTCCTGAGTGTTCTCACTATAGAGGATATTTCCTATCACTTGTATACTTTCCTTTGTCTACTGGTCCCAACTTTGGCACAAATCATACTATGAAATATTCTAATCAGCAATGATCATGAACTCAATTACCTCTATTCTGAGGGCTAATGGAACTCAATTACCTCTATTTCTGTGGGTTGGCTTATTAATCAGCAAGTTGTCAACTCAAACATAAGGAAATCTCTATTTTCCTCACTAAAGACTTGCCCTTTCCAAGTTGAATGAACTGAGCTCACCATGAGACCCAGAAAGAACACTTGAAGGTAATGTCCTTGGCAGCATAAATGTGGACAATACCACTTTTTCTCTAATTCCATGATCTTTGAAAGAAAGGCTCAAGAGTTTAGAGTCCACTCTATATTCTGGTAGATAAAACAGACTGTAAACACTAATTGTCCTGTCTTAGTGCCACAGCCACTTATCTAGTGATTAAGAAAGATCACAGGAAGAGAAAAAGGGAAGTGAGTTACAAGTACAAGCTTTTTCTCCCAGACCACTACTGGTATTTAAGACAAAAGATAACCAACATGTCCTGAAAGACCTAACTACAGGGTGACAAGATGAATATACAAGAGAGAGAATAGTATGGCAAATCCTGCAACAGAGAAGTTGTAGAGAAATACAAGTCACTAATGAGCAAGAGGACACTAGACTAATAGGAAGAAAAGATGCTCAAATGCATATTCAAGGCTTAAGCCATACAGTATTATGAAGTTCATGGCTTCTGTTCCCTCTATCAAGAAAAGATAAGGTCACTTCTGGATGAAGACAATGGAATAATACTGGGTTGCAGCTGCATAATCAAGGAATTGATAGGAAAGTGAGGAAGGATTGGAAGAAAAAAATTAGCCAACAAAAACATAAGGCATACCACCTCATGCTAACAAGGAAAGAGACACAGGAAGATTAAGACTCAGAATAGCATTTAACTAACCTCACTGTAGGAAAAAGAAAGTTGGTAGCATCTTAACAGGTCTTATTCCAAGTCTAGAACAAATTGAGGAAACGGGCAGCTCAGATAAGTCAAAGAAAAATTCTCCATAATATAAAGTCCTTCCCTACCATCAGTATATTCAGGGATGTCTTTTTTTCTAGCACCCAGAAGTCAGCTCACAACTCGTCAAGTTAGTCTTTGTAAGAGATGCTTTAAAAAATGACCTCTTGAATTTACACATTCCAATCTCCCCTTCTCATCTCTCAAGCTCAAACTGAGTGAAGCTTTTAGTGTATAAGAACCTTCTCAACTCTACCAGCTCTTTTCCATGACTTATTCTTTGTATAACTTGGATTCCACCTGCTGTCAACACCATCACCTAGCAAATGTCTCCAACTCCCTGGCCTGTTTCTACTTCCACCAAAAATATTATAAATAAATAAATAAATGAATAAATGAATGAATAAATAAATAATAAAATAACAAACAAACAAATAGATAAAGTGGCTCTGGTTCTCTACACTTCACTTGCAGTTAGCAGTTAAATGTTTCTGGAGAAAAATCACATCAGAGATCTGCCTAACTCCCAAATTCCATTCTGCTTATTTCCTTTTTAAGATTCTCAAATAATTTCTTTCTCTTCAAAGTCCAATGTCAACTTGCTTTATCCTTAAACTACTTTAAAGCTCAATTATTTTATCCATGGCTCTACATTTGTTTCTGTAATGTGTTATTCATTACAAAATAAAAATACATTACCTAAGAAAACAAAACATTTCTAAACTGTTTTACAGTGGAAACCACCATAAATACTAATGATGCTAAATTGTGCTAAAACAACTTAATGAGCCATGATGAGGCTCACTTTTATATCTTTCAGTGATTGCAGAGTACTGATAAAAACTTTCAAACCGCTCCATTTCAAAGAACGTTTATATTATCAGCCAATTTAAAAAGGAAAAACAGATGCTGCCATCACATTTAGTCTTAACACTGTTAACTCTAGAAAAGCAGTTCTCTAAGAATACATGACCTTGTTTTACCACAGTGAATGACCTGGTGTGTTCTCTCCTAGAAATCTGTTGACAAAGGAAGCAGAGTCCAATAAAATTATCAAAATGTAGTAAAGGAATCTCTCAGATGTCTTCAGCTTCAGTGTGATCTCAGCTCTATTTACATTAGTTCAGTATTCTTTGGATAAGGATGAAATATAAACTATAAATACAGGTAACTACTAGACAGACTATAGAGCTACCTGATTAGGTTTTCTATGGTTATTTTTAAAAACAGCTATAAAGTCTCCCAACTCACACAAAATGCCAATCACTATGAAATTAAACAAAAAAGGAACTTATTTTAGAAAATGAGAAAGAAAAAAAGCTTACCTGGCAACGTGCTATTAACATGCACATCTCTGAGTCTTAAAAAACAAAAACAAAAAAAACAAAAAAAAAAAAAAAAAAAAAAACCCTAACAGCACATTCACTTTCTGTTTTAGTTCACAGACATAGATCTAAGAGCAGATGATTGAAGGGAACAGAAGAAAAAAGTTCATATTTATTGAGCACTTGTGAACAGAATGAAAATTAAATTTGGATATGGCCCATTTCCTTCATTAAAAAACTGTCACATCAGATTCCCTTATTATTACTGGCATTGCCAATATGATAATGTTGTTAATGATTTGAGTGTATCTGACTATATGGGAATGTGGTTTTCAATTTTATAAAATGTTAAAATCAGGATATTTATATGTAAAATATTGGGATATACTTTACTATTACAATAACAATTTGACATACTTCAAGTCACTGTGAAGTTCAGTAGGTCATTAAGCCTGCTGACTTTACAAAGAAGTCTAATTCTAGAAATGATTTGACTTATTAACTGAGAAAAAAAAAAGACTAACTGGATTTAACTCATTAATTCCAAAGAATAAACATATTTATTTCCTGAAGAGAAATACTATGCCTGACAAATCTCATGAATCATTTTACATAAAGACAACATGCCAAACTCAACAATACTTTCTGCCTTCTTGGTAGGCATGGAGTGAGTGAGTGAGTGAGTGAGTGTGTGAGTGTGTGTGTGTGTGTGTGTGTGTGTGTGTGTGTGTGTGTGTGTGTACACATACACACTTCGTTTGTTGTTTTGTTTGTTTGTGGCCTTTTTTGGGAATTAAGGGAAGGTAGATACATACTCAAGATTTTTAACAGCAAAATGTTGTATGTAAAATAAAGCCCACAATTTAAAGCTATAAGAATGGAATAAGGAGGAGAACTTTTCATCAGGTAACAGGCTTCTAATGAAGCTCTATTCAGGAAATACTTTGCTTCACAAACAACACTAGTTGTTGATTAAGCAACCAGTGAGTGGTCACTATTATGGTAGGGACTAAGTCACCTATTAAGAACTATAACCGAAGGAGGTTAAGTAGCTTTACTAATGTTTGTTTGCATAGAAACACAACGCAATAGCACACAAAATACTTGGAAAGACCATTTGCTTAATTTTGACATACTATAATCTCATCTTTTAAATTTTGGCACAAATCTGGTTGTAGTTCACAAACTTTATTCATATAAAAAATGCTTACTGCATTTCAGTATATGGTAATTTATAACTTCCAAGATACTCTTATGAACAGTTCCTAAAATAATACACAATCCCAAACACATCAGTGACCTGAAAGCATTATAAATTTATGTGTACTTACTAAGAAGACTTCTTTATACATTTAGTGTACATTTTCAATTTCTCCTCAGCTGTTCTACCAACATGTTATTGCAGAAACTATGTTAGGGACAATACATACTTCTAAACATGGCCAGGAATGTCAAAAAAAAAAAAAAAAAAAAAAAGGATCTATTTAAATTCTCCAAGTCAGGGTTAACCAATTCTCCATTTTACTATAAATTAATGAAAATCACCATATGAAAATTAAGCCCAATGGATAATGAAAATTCAGTCCAGTAATTTCAAAGTGAATGCAATTAAATTAAAATTTCATTTATTGGAAAAACAGCAGACACCAGCTTTTCAGTTAAAAAGAAATTTCTATACTTTTATAATTTTCTCGACATTCTACATAAATTTAGACAGAATAACAAATCTTTTGACTTATCTATGTATGCATGTATGGACATTCACACACATGCTTTAATAAATTTCCCTGGAGTGGGGGACTAAAAATAAAACTTTTCTGGTTTAGTTATACTTTTGCATTTAACCAATTTCACAATTTATGGTTTGGAGTGTAACTCAGTGGTAGAAGTGCTTGCTTAAAATGCACATAGCTCTGGGTTTATCCTTAAGCCAACAAACAACAACAAAAAACAAGAACCCACAAAATTTAAAGCCACTTTCTAAATGATTCTGACCAGCTTCAGTAACTACAGTATTAATAATACTGTAAGATATTATGAAATGTCAAATAATTTTGCATATCTCATCAGTGCAATAAATCTCTTCCCACTTTCCAAAAAACAAAACAAACAACAACAAAAAAAACCACTGTCATCACTTTGTGTTAAGAAGTCACAGAAATTTTTATTTAAGAAATGTTCCTTCAGTATTTATTTGATAAATTTTCATTTAGGTGAGAACTTTTACTTTTTGTATAGACTAACTCAAACTATGCTTTTTTTTTCATAGTTGAATTGTATCTTACTCTGCATAGCAAAGAAATTAGTAGTTCTTTGAACTTAAAGACTTGAGAATTTCCTCATTGTGAATTAGTTCTTCCTGTATAAACTGCTGTTCTTCTGCTGCTAAAGAATACTTAGTAAAATAATAAGCAAACAGCAAACAAATCATAAGCTATGATACTAATTAATAATGAAATATATTAAACGTTGTTTAAATATTAAACAGCAAAATACTCCTTGTACATTAAATAAATAAGATTTGAATTTGTCATTTCGGGATATAGGAAAATATCACCAATGGGAGATGCTCTAGTGCAAAGAGTGGCCTCAAAACATGTATACAGACACACACACACACACACACACACACACACACACACACACACACACACACACACAATATACAAAGATGAAGAGAAAAAAAGGAGGGAGGAAACACAACACTCAATACTGGTATCATTTCCAATAACACTTTAAATGGGTGAGTCTCACTCCCCCGCGCCTCTCTCTCTCTCTCTCTCTCTCTCTCTCTCTCTCTCTCTCTCTCTCTCTCTCTCTCTCTCTCTCTCTCTCTCTCACACACACACACACACACACAAATTATCTGGAAAACTTTTGAAATTTAGTGACAACTGGGTTTATCCAAGAAAATAAGAGTAAGGATTCAGATATATTTTTCAAATCTCTTCAAATGGTGAGCTTCTGATTAAAAACTACATATTTTTTCTTACTGTTACTTAGAAGACTCCAGATAATAGAGAACCTTCCTTTACAAGTAAAGCTGGCAAGAATACCTCCAGTTAGCAACTTATAGGGAAACTGAACTTACTAATGTGTACTCATTTTCATTAAACTATCTACTTATTTCTTCTCATTGCTTATATTTCTTTATTCTCAAATTCTAAGACCAAATAAGGTCAAAACTATTTTAAAGACTGAATCACTTATGCTGAAAATACATCATCCATTTACACATATAAATAACTACTGAATGCCTACATGTGCAAGGCACTGTTAGGTGCTGCTGCAGAACTGAGTCACAGGAGATTAATGAATGATTGGCTGAGCATAGTGGATTTTTATAATTTGCTTTTTCCCTTTATTTTTATACTTAACCACTATAAAATTTCATAAACTTACTTAGGGGACCAAAATGTTGAAGTTAAAAAAAATCTAAAATGTTTGTGCATGTTTATGTGTAGGTAATTACAGAAAGGAAACTATGATACAGAAGGCAGAAGAGTTCTTAGGAGAGGGTGAGGAAAGAGAAAGAGAAAGAGAAAGAGAAAGAGAAAGAAAAAGAACATATGTGACAGGAAAGCAAGAAGGGAAATGGAGGCAAGAGGAACGGGGAGGTCAGCAGGGATGGGAAAAGAACAAGTACATGACACGTGTCCACCAAACTGCCAGCAGGAAACTCATTACGTTTCCTTCCACCTCAATTTTCTTTTTGAAATCTTAAAAATAAAACAAGAAACCCCAGTGCACACAAAGAATCTGATTTCAAGATACACGTAAAGCATAGTTCTAGATTTACTAAGTTACAGGTATACCCAGAAACCTTTGACTAAACACAAAGCAAATTTAAAATAGAAAAATAAACCATGTTCAAAGTAGATATTAATTTTAACCATACTCTGTTATCAAGTAAATTTCAGATAGTAAGAATAAATATCAAACATCTTTATGGAAAGGTAGTAGTTCATGTCCACTTTGCAGTAGTCCTAAAAAGTAATTTTACATTAAAGTATTACAGGTTTGACTCACTGACTATTTCATTGTGGAGAAAGTTTATTCAATACATAATTTAAGAATAGATTTGTATGCTGAGAAATTCTCTGAACAAAGTGAGTTTTCTTTTGCCATAAAGAAGAGGATGCAGGAGAACAGGAAATTGTGGGCAACATCTACTAAAATTAAAAATGTACTAAAGTCATTTGAAACATTAGCTGCTTCTCTTCTGGAGAGCCCACTGAACTCCATCTGAATAAATATCTTTTCCATTTTTACTGACAATTGATTTTTGTAGTAAGTTAATAAAATAAATTAATACTTTTTTCTCATCTTTATGATAGCATTAAATTCTAAAGAGGCTAAGTATCCTCATCAGAATAGAAGAGCTAAATGTTTTACTGCACCCCCCAAGTCCCCCAATTTGATAACCTAAGAGATAGCCACTGAAGAAAACAAGATACAAGGTGGGATGGTCAACAAGAGCTCTAATGGCAGAAAACGGTTTCAAGGAATAAACATTCCTTTTAAATAGTAAAAGGTAAAACCAGGACTCAAGGAGCACGGTCATTCATTGCAGCTTGGATGCAACACTCTGTCTAAAGTAGAGAAATAGTAAAATATTTTACTAAGTTAAAATATAGGTTTTATATTTTATACCACATTGAACACACACATAAAAATACCAGTGTTTTTATCTTGTTTCTGTTCAGACACGTAAGCAAATGTGTTCTTTGGTGCCTGGGAATTTATCAATATTTAGGGATAATGGAAGATAAGAAGTCCCAAGTTGACATGTGTACAAATAGAAGACTCAAAATCCTATAGCATATAAGAATCAAAATCAAACTTAGAAGTTCAAGTTACACTGTAACTAGGCTGATACGTACTCAGTCTCCCAAATCATATTTTAGCTTTCTAAGTAAGAGTCACTACAGCCTATTATACTGTAATCTTTGTTTCTTGAGATTTCTTTTCAAGTGGAAACATATCCCAGATAGAAATATATCACTTTAAGTTTAAAATCATCAAAGTCAACAAAGAGAGTGTACATTCATTAAATGTATTCATTTACAAAAGAAATCTTGAAAAGGCTGAGTTCAACCGAAACTGAAGACTTGTTCTTGATTTTTCATTATTCCTTTTTAAACATGAGTTAGTATAGACATAGTATACACACAGGCCAACTTTCAACTGATTTAATAGTTACTTCCCTTTGATGGGGTTTTGAAGTTCTAGAGTCTAAAATTTAAAACCATTCATGACAGTATTTTCCAGTAAAAGGAACCATAGAGCAATGAAAAATCAGAAGCAAGATGGCTTAGAGAGCCTAATAACTTCTAAATATACACACATTTATAACCTGTATTTATTTCTAAAGAAACAAATTTTTAAGTAATGCTAATTTAACCAATAGAGAAAAAGCTTCTATCAAAATATACAATTTCCATTACAGACTAGAAGGCTAATATTAAAAAAATAGTTGTAAGCCAAAAAAGTTTGCTTGTATGGATGGGAGGCAATGCCCCTTTAAAGCACACAGCATCAAACAAGGTCTTATAAAAGACTGCTCTGTGGCCTTCTTCATTTGCAAGTTCTTGATGAATTCATAAAGCTTGGGTTTCAGTCTGTAGATGAAGCTATATCCATGCTTCTTAAACCAAGTTTTCAGAAATGGAGGAATCAAATGATTCAGAATCTCAAGTGGGATTTATGCTTTACCATGTATCTGGGAAAAAAAGAGAGTAATGGGTTAGGATGACAATACAAATTTCAAAATTTTAACATGTAAAAAGGGGTGACTTCTTTATTACAAAATCACTAAGGGACAAAATACTGTTTTTACTAAGCAACAAGAAACTGGATTTTGCAGCTTCTGAAAAATAGTAAGAAAAAAAATTTTTTTTTCATTAAATTCTATAACCTAAGAGCTTACTGGAAGTACGTTTATCTTTACACACTATCAGTTACAGCCATAGAGTTAACTCATGACTTTCAGAAAACTGACACAATCCAGTGAGAGATACCAAACAAGATATAGTTTTCAGGGAACACAACAAATAGCAACTGAGTCCATAGTATTAGTTATGATAATCCGCTGTTCTTGTATTTGTAAATTACAGAACAGCTGCTATTTTAAAAGACTTAACTCTATCCTAGTAATTCCAGTAATATCCTAGTAATAAATGAAGAATTAAATTCCTTTCACAGGCGTTCAGGGTAAAGCCCAAGGGTCACCTGACAGCAGGCTCCTAAGCAGATAGAAAATGAAGTGCAGAAGGTTTCCCAGTTCATGAGAGCAAGATCACAAAATCTTTGTCTTCTCATGAAGACAACAGAGTTTAACATGCCTTCTAATAGACTCTAAACTCTACATTTACATATTAAGTCAATAAATCAAAGTATTTCTCAATCATGAATTATTATGTTGGCATCAAATCAGACGATATTCAAAGCAAGGAATTACAAAATATAGCTTATAACTAAAGATTTTAAATTCTGATTTTAAAAAATTGCTAAAATAAAGTATGTATGAGTTTATTTTAAGATCACAATTACCTATCCAATGTTTCCCAGAAACGTAAGAAAACTGGTCTATCCAAATGACGCTTATGATAGCTGAGTTCTAACACTGTTACATCCCATTTTTGAACATTTGGATCTAGACGAACTTCATCATACTTGAGATGGAAGGCTTTAACTACATCAGGAACAGGAAGAAAGAAAACAGCATTCTTATTAAAAACTGAAGCCAAAATTATGGAAACACTTTCTAGAAAGAAGTATACATACACACAAATACCAAAACAAACAAAAATTCCAATCTTTTTACTATCAACTAAAGCTATATTAACATTATATCCAGTGACCTGTGAAACAGCTGTTCTATGGTACCATCAGAAACACTCAAAGTCAACAGTGAGGGTTGATACAAGTTAGCAACTAGTGATTGAAACAACAAATAAGGTAAGATAAAATTCTTAATTCATTTAAGGGTAGTTAAGAGAAAGACAACTCAAATATAGTATAGAAAGCACAATACAAGATCACAGAGACATAAAAAAAAGTACCTTTTCACAAGACATAAATTCAGGAAAAGACTACATAGGCAATAATGATTCATTTAAAACTTAAAGAAAAACAAGCAATGAACAAAGTGACATGATGATCAAGATAATACTCAAAGAAGAAATGGTTTAGTCTTAGAAATGAAAACGTCAAAGAAATGGAATATGTAGAGTAACAAAGAGAAAGGACAAAGGATTAAGATCATAAACGTTCAGAGTGATAGTGGTCTTGGAAGCCCGTATCAGTCTAGAATTCAAGTGATATGGAAATCATTATAAACTACTTACTAGATAAAGGAAAGGAATTCTTCAGTTAAGTAGAAGAGACAGAGCCAGGACGACAAATACCTGTGAAGTTACTAAGGAGTGAGAGCCAATAGGACTCAGTGCTGGCAGAGTTTTGTCAACATAACAGAAACTCAAGGAACCTCAAGTGAGAAAAATCCATCCGACTGGCCTGGAACCAGGACTGTGGGAGCATCTTCTTGATTAGTGACTTATGTGGGAGGACCCAGTCCAGTATGGCAATGCCATGCCTAGGCAGGCTAAGCAAGCCACAAAAAGCAAGCCAACAAGCTTCCCTTCATGGTTCCTGCCCTGGTATCTCTCAATGATGGACATAGAAGTATTTAAAAAATAAAAAATAAAATGCTTCTTATGAATTGTTAAAGCCTATAATTTCTTTAATAATTAATAATTTTTACTGTCATTTACTTTTGATCTAGACTTTTTAAACTAAAGTTGGTAGCATACTAAGAAAATAAGGTTTCCCTCATCAGATAAAAAACAAAAAAATCATTTTATTTATTTTGGTTTTGGGGACAGGGTTTCTTCGTGTAGCCCTGGCTGTCCTGCAACAGACAAAATATCTTTATTGCAGGTATCAATAATGCAAACCAAACATGCCAGCATATTACCATAAAATGTATGTGACTCAGAAAAAACAAAAGTTTTCTAAGGTTCTTCAAGTAAAAACAAAAGAAATTACATAGTGACACAATGAACACAAATAAAAACCATATGTCTCAGAGTAACATACATCTTTAGGCAAAATTCATAAACTGCAAAAATTTTCAGCAGGGAACAAAAAGGTATCCTTTTGAAAAAACAGATACACTAATGGCATGCCATGATAGAGAAGATAGATTGTAGAGATTTAAATAATTGTAATAGTAACCAGCAAGAATTTGAAGAAACTATCATTAAAAAGTCTTTGGGGAATGGGGCTGGAGAGATGTCATGGTGGTTGCTGCTCTCCCGGAGGACCTGGGTTCCATTCCCAGTCAGCACCCACATGGCAACTCATAAACACCTGTAAACTCCAGTTGTAAGGAAGTCAATGCCCTCTTCTGGCCTCCATGGCAGAAAGCACATATATGATGCACATACACAAATGCAGACAAACACAAATATACATAAGAAAAAATAATCTTTTTAAAAAATCTTGAGAGCTGAAGATTCAATGCTTGCCTTAGCATACAAAAGTCAAGGATTCAATCCAAAGCATTCCAATAGTGAGGGGGGAAAAAACCGTTTTCAACAGCAAATGTATATAACTACTCAGCTACTCAAACATAAAATATTAAGCTACAAATTAAAATTTATTATACTTTTGAAAGGATTTTTTTTGGAAACTATATAATTTGGTATCTAATATCTTTGCTAAATTTGACTGTATCATAATTATGCAATATTACGTTACTTTTTTACTTATAGTTCATGAAAATACTGCCCAAACTCCCAGGTTTCTCTTATGCTATATAAGTAAGTAAATTCTCTGCTATATGCATTATGACGTGGAAAAGGGTGGGACTGTAAAAGCTGAGAAAAGCACTGTGATGGTTAATTTATCAACTTGAAACAAACTAGAATCAGTAGTAGAGAGTCTGAATGAGGAATTTTCTACACTGGTTTGGCCTCTAAGCACGTCTATGGTGGACCTTCATTACTACATTAACTGACATGGAATGAGCCAGTCCACTATGGGCAGCACCACAGGTCCTAAACTGTATAAGAATAGAGAAATCTGTTGGGAGCACAAGTAAGCAAGCAAGCGAGCAAGAATGTATTCATTTCTCTCTGCTCTTGACTTGTGATGTGATATGGCTAGCTAAATAAAGGTTCTGCCTTGACCTCCTCACAATGATGAACTGTAACTTAAGAAATTATAAGCTGACATAATCATATGTTTTACCTAAGCTGCTTTCTGTCAAGGTATTTTATTATAGGAACACCAATGAAACTAGAACAAGCACTAAGAGCTAAAAGACAATATAGTCCAAAGTTTCTGGTTTAGGCAAATCACAGAAAAAACTAAGCTAGGGATAAAAAAGGTGAAGAGACTACATCAATTAATTGGAGTCAATTGGAATGGATTGTCATATTCCAACAGAACATTAGCAAGTATTTATTAGGTAGTAAGACATACAACACAGTCCTACAATGTTGAAATATAAGAGACATAATTTTTATAAAGTGGGGAAAGAAAGTATTTATTGGGTAGTAAGACATACAACACAGTCCTACAATGTTGAAATATAAGAGACATAATTTTTATAAAGTGGGGAGAGAAAAAAACTGGAAATGTGAATTGGACAGTGTGGCACATGCCTTTAGTCCCAGCACTAAGGAGGCAGAGGCAGGCGGATCTACATGAGTTTGAGGCCAACTTGGTCTACAGAATGAGTTCCAGGACAGCCAAAGCTATTACACAGAGAAACCCTATCTCAAAAAACAAAACAAAAACTGAAAATGTAAGATTTCCTTAAGAGGGTATTCAGAATTTAAAGAGGAACAATAATTTAAAATGTACAGCTGGCAGTCAGAAAGAACTACCAAGAAATAAAACCAAAAACCCTTGAGATCAAATGAAGCCCAGTACACGGACACAAGCATTTTAAAAAGTAAGAAATCAGTCAACACAGTAAAATTCTGATAGAAGGCCAAAACTAATACTGGGAGGTGTAGAAAATCAATTTTAGTGAAAGAGCCAAGGTATAGTGGCTTGAGAACTGAGTGCCAAGTTTGTGGAGATAATTGTTTCACAAAGTAGTTACAAAAAAGAGGGTAGGAGATCAGGTTCATGGTTTGGTTTTGGGATTCATTTAAATATAGAAGGAGAACATTTCTAACCACTGCCAGAAAGGAGCCAGTATGAAAGCAACAGTGAAGAGAAAGAATAGTATGTGGAATAAACTTACTGATTATTGCTAAATTCTCAACATCCTTATCTACCTTGGAAGAATAATAATCTCAATGATTGTAATAAACTTATTATATTCCTAATAAAATTTGGTCTTTTTATCTTGAAGATAACCTTTTCAATGATAAAACTTCATCACTTTTCAATGATAGTCAAGGCAAGATTTAAAGAAAGAAAAAAAAAAAAGAAAGAAACAGGTACTTGCATTCATTAACACATTTCCATTCTCTCCATTATTTTAACTTTCTATGCACCAACTCTATGCATTCCTCAGAAATGGAATAAAAAGCTATCATAATAAAAGCAATATTGTAATTTGTCTTTAAAAGCAGATTGAGATAAAATAAAAACAAATTAATAAAACTTTAATTTTAGGACAGAATGGTGTTACCAACAAAAATGGGTTGCTAAAATATCTGGGCTGAATAAAAGTACAATTTATATTCACAATAAGTTGTCACTGATTATGAGAATAATTTTTAATTATTTTCAATAACATTAATATTTTAATTGGGTCGGCCAACTAAGTAATAGTTGGACTATCCCTTCCACCTAATAGACTAAATAATCTACTGTGTCAATTTCCACCAAATGTATTCAACAAGAGAGATTTTTATCATATGAAGTCATTCACTCTTAGGATAGTTATAGAAAGTCTCCATGTATCTGGCACTCTTTTGTTGAAAATACAAAGGTGGAATGAATGAATAAAGCAGAAAAGGGCTGCTCCTGCTGTGGTACCTGCATTCTCTTCCAATAAAGATAGAAAAATCACAAGTTGCCAAGAAACAAACACTAGTAAGGATTCTCCAAATAAAGAACACTTGAGCTAAGAGAACTGAATGAAGAAGTCATACAATAACCATCCCAGAGGAGGTAGCTGATAGATGTCCTGGACATTTCAAGTTAGTGCTGCTATACAGCAAAAGTCAACCTATATAAAACTTAGCTATTGCTTGATATATGCAGGTAGAGAAATATGGGTAGAAATCAATTTATACAATGTATATTACATGTAGCTAGTTATCAATCTTAATAAATATGTATAGGCATACTGAATTATTAATAATGTAAGAAACCTAAAATATTTGGCAATGTAACATATAGGCAACACTCATATTTTCTATATACAACCACATAGAAAATATTAATGTACAAAAGGCTTTAAAAATACCTCACAGGTGGTTAAAGGTTAGTATTGTATGTTACTCAATGGCAATCCTTTCATACATTCATATACAGGGTGACTTACATGTGCTCTTTCTCTTAAAAATTAGTTCTATATTGAATAAGCAGTAAACATATGGAGAGAGAATCTTACTTTTAGCAAATATGTCAACTGGTGATCCATCAGGTAGAAGCCATGGCCAACCTTTGAACTGCCAAGCAGGACCTTGAACAAAAACAGCTACAACCCGATCCCTACAAGCAGAAAGAAGGAAGTGGGAGAGAGAAGAATACCTCAAACTTGAGCTTTAACTACTGCAAATCCTTAAAAAGAAGTTTCCTAATTATTCATGTGACAGCCTTCCCAGCAGTCCTCTTGGTGAGACAAACATAGTTGACATTTTACTATGCTGGTAGGATATTAAACCTTAATGACCCTAGCCCCTACCTAAGTCCTCTGGACATGGTTGCAAACAAGTTTGAGGTCATCTTTGTAATCCTTTTTTCTTCCCTTAAGTAAAGACTTACAGACTGGAATACAGATCGGCAGCTGATGTATTAATTGAACAAATTGGTTTTAAATGGAAGTTATTGGAAATTCAAATAAATATTAAATATTTAAATTTAATTAAAACACTAAATTATAGGAATTCCCCAGCCATTTTGTGAAACTTTCAAAGACTTACTTTCAAATCTTATGGTTCCTTAGGAAGAAATCTGAGTATAAGATCACCTCAACTTTTCTAATTTATCAAGCTTTAGACAACTATTTTATTTACACTAAATGTTAGTTTGGTTTCTAAAGAAACTTGTTTTTTTCAGCTATACAAACTAATTTTCCAAGAAAAAACAAATCTCTTTCTAGGTCTTCACATTTCATTATTTTGCACAATATTCAGTTAAAAATTCTATAAAGTACTGCCATAAGCAGTTTAAGTATACAAGAGTCAGGAACAAAATAATGATGGTTACTTACCATGAATAACATTAACTTAAGTATTTACTAAGTGACAGTGTTGTTTTAAGCACACTATAAATTAATCATGTTAATACATTTCATTTTCAAAACACTCTGGTGAGGTGAATACTACTGTACCCCATTTTCAGATGAGGAGACAAATATAAGGCTATATTAAAGAAGAGCCCACTAAACAGAAGGCAAAGAGAGAGAGGGAGGGACAGGGGAGAGAAGAAGGAAGGAGAATAATTATTAATCTCAGGCACTGGATAGAAAAGTTCCATTTAAGGACTGATATATCAAGAGATATATAATCACCTGCATATTACTACAGAAATAGGCTGCCCTTTAAAAGGTCTACAGAATGCCTAGGGGTCTTCATACCAGACAATAATAATCCCTGCCTTAGATAACAACTCTATACACCTAACAAAACAATTAAGCAGTTACTCTGTTCAAGACCTACATTAAGCCAGGTATGGAATTAATGCCAATATCAGTTTTCAGGAGGCTAAAGCAAAAGGAGTGCTGTGAGCTCCAGCTCTAACTAGAGTGAGGCCATTCTTCGACAGACACACACGCACGCACACGCACACACACACAATGACAGTTAGCAAAATTACTCAGAAAAACAGCAACCTGAAAATTCCTACTCTTCTCAAAGTTTCTGAGGCTAAAATTAAATCATAAATAAAAATATTTCCTTCTGTGGAATATATACCCCAAACTTTCAAAAACATCTTCAAAAGTACAGCACACTACTAAATAAATTAGATGTAACTTACACCATATAATAGTTGTGAGAGTAAGATATTACTAGAATGTCAGTATTATTATATAGATCTTCCTATATGGATTAATAAATTTTCTAAGATAATTTCTATTTAGAACCTGTTATAAAGTACGATACCTATTTATATCATTTAAAAAATGGTCAGGCAAGATAGCCCAGCAGGTAAATGTGCTTGCTACCAAACCTGACAACCTGGGTTTGATCCAGGACACACACGGTAGAGGAGAAAAACCAACTCCTGCAAGTTGTTCTCTGACTTCTGCAATCATACCATGGCATACTCATACACACAAAATAAATATTAAAAAAAAAAACTTTAAATGCAAACAAAACGTTAATGCAGAGAGAATGGGGGAGAAGGGAGAGAGAGTGGGGAAGGGAGGAAGAACCTTACCAATCTTGAGGCATAAGTTTCAGGGGCTGGTCTACTACTCTATAAGGTACTGTGACACTAATGGCTGTGCCCCCTGGTTGCATCTGATCTTTTCTTCTCTGTATTAGTGTTTCATTTTCTCGTTGACAACCTTGTTTCTTCTTTTCATCTGATGGGACAAACCTTTGAAAGAGTAGAGAAAAAGTACACAATATGATGAAACAAGGAAAATATATTTTCAAATACTTTTTGAAATGTTAATATTTTAAGCTAAAATGTTTGCTTTATGTGTAGATCTTAAGAGTTGGAAAGATACGCTCCTTTTTGTTTTGATTTTGGTTTTCGAGAAAGGGTTTCTGTGTAGGCTTGCCTATGCTGGAACTAGCTGTGTAGAGCAGGCTGCCCTCAAACTCATAGAGATCCGCCTACCTCTGTGTAGCTGGAAGTTTTCCTGTGTCCCACCTGGCCCATGGTCAGGACAAATCTCTCTCACCTGCAGGTCCCATAGCTGCTTGGACCCAAATAAATACACAGAGGCTTATATTATTTACAAATGATATGGCCTAATGGCTCAAGCTTCTCGCTAGCTAGCTCTTACATCTTAAATTAACCCATTTCTATAAATCTACACTCTTCCATGTGGCTTGTGGCTTACCGGTACTTTACATCTTGCTTCTTCTGGCAGCCAGCAGCATCTCTCTACTGTCTTTCTCCTTCCTCTCTCTAGTTAGAATGTCAGGCAGTGGCAGCACATGCCCTTAACAGGCAGGATCTCTGTGTGTTCAAGGCCACACTGGAAACAGAGCCAGTCTCCACTGGGAGACCAACTTACTCCAAATTTCACAAGACACTTTTAAAAAAAACTTCTACACTTTCATATTTCAGAAAAATTAAGTGACATTAAACTTCTGTGTTACTTTTAAGATTCTAAAGTAGGAAAATCAGCATATATCAATAGTCTGTTCTAATAAACACCTTTAATACTATCATATAGCAGTATTTATAAACTCTATGTGATTCAATTTTCTACTGTATCCTCCCCACAGAAGTCAAACTATAACATAACCTAACATTCTGAAGAGGAACTACCACTCTAGAAACTGGTAGTGTTTTACAAGCTATAATGGTTAGCATGTTAGCTGTCAACTTGACTCAATTTGAAATGGTATGACAACATTCCTTTGGGTGTGTCTCATAGGGGAATTCAGAAAGGTTTAACTGAAGAGGGCAGTTCTACCTGGATTATAGACAACACTATTCCAAATGTTGAGGCATGTGGCTGAATAAAACTAAAATAACACCAGCACTTATTTCTCTCTGCTTCCTGAATCAGATACAGTGTGGCAACCTGTCTCACTCTCCTGCTGCAAGGGCTTTCCACAAGGGGAGACTATATACACCCTACAACTGTAAGACAAAAGGGACCCAAGTTGCTTCTGTCAAGTATTCTGTCAGAGCACTGAAAAAAGTACCTAATACTTAAGCGTGTATAAACACTCTAATTTTTAAAGTAAATATAATCCAAACATATGGTCCATTAGTCATGGCTTACCCTCTCCAATTAGATCAATACAACCACTGCACTTGCAGAGCAGTGCTTCCAAAGGCTAGGGAAGATGAAACGGTAAAAGGATAAGGGCTAAGAAATAAGAGTTGGGTGTGGGGTTAGGGTTAGGGTTGGGATGCATTAAGTCCACACTAGGAAGGGCTCCTTGAAACTTTCTATAAAGTAATGCTAATTTTGTGGTCATGAAAGATTTTAGTGCTTGATAATAACAGCAGTACAGAACTGTCTGAGATGACCTGATTTTTATCTTTATTTTATATCTGGTAATCATTTCCTCCTGTATAAATTTTGCTCATTTTTAATTAATCAAGCTTATACAGAAAATGCCAACTTTAATAGCAACACTTTAAATAAAACATATTTTAAAAATATTGTATATAATGTTGGAAACAATTCTAAATCAAAAAGAACAATGAAGGAAGGTATTTAGTAAACTTGCACATGCAAACGGAGCACATTAAATGTCAGAACGTATCTACACGGTTGAGTCTGTGCTCTTGAACTCGTGTTTTAGACGCACACAGTTCTTACCACCAAAACTAAGTTGGTTTTCTTGGCCTCAGTCTCTACCTAGCTGAGGTTAAATTGCTCACATTTTTAAATACCACATTTTTCTTTCTGAATTTTGAAATGTTATAAAAAGTACTTCGATAATGAATTATAAAATAAAAACAAATGATATTACCTAATTAATAAAGTTATTACATACCTAATCCAACCTATTTCCTAATAAATAAAGAGTTATGTAGCACCTGCATGTTTCTACACTGGTTGCTTCAGTTTTATTAAAGTTCAGAACAACTCATATGATCCAGAGTTTTAAAAAAAACTAATTTTTTTCACGTGTTCTAGTATTTTAATGTCTGCTTATGTCAAGGTATGTTTTTATTTTAAGAACAGCAGAGTTCCTCTGTTAACAATAAGAAGCAGCTCTATTTCAAATACTTTCCTCCTTTGGTCAGTTGATAACATAAGGATAAACCTTATAACCGCTTTTGAAGTTCATTGGAAAGATTATTTGCCACTTGTTCATCTTGCTGAATGAAGGTCATCAAACCTAAGAGACACTAAGGACTAGTATACAAACTCTATCATACCACTAAAGGAAACAAAAATATTAACTGCCAACTAAACTCCAATACTTTAATGATACTGCACATAACTCAAAGCCACTATCCCTCTACTGGAATTGGCTACTTCTCCTAGCAGACTACATTGTTTGATGTTATGACAGAAAATTTTTCATTTATACCTCAAGAACAAAAATAGGCAGAGCTTTACCTACAGTACAAGTTCTCTGTAGAGATCGTTTAGATCTTCAAAGTAATTATAACAACATAAGTTTGCAATTCTCTCACAAAGTGGAATTCATTTTAATGTATTTTCGCACATATAACATTGGCATAAAATTTACACACAATTAAATATGAAAAATAGTTTAAATTTATACCCAGAGCATGTTCATTAAAAAAAAAAATGTGATATCCATTGACACCTTGTGCACTTTTAGTCAATTCTCATCACTCTTCTCTCAATAATCACTTTATATTCCCATCAGCATAAATTGGTCTTGCCATATTCATATACATAAAGTCCTATAGGACATAATCCTTTGTAGCTGGCTTCTTCAATCAATTGTTTCTAATATTCAACCATACTGTGGGAACACAATCAGTAGTTTGCTCTCTTTTACTGCTGAGTGGTATTTTATCATTAGACTGCAGTACTGAAAATGATTTTGTTCTTGCTAATTGTGGGTGTATGGGTGTCATAGTTCATTTGAGATATTATAATAAAAACATGACAGACAAGGTGGCTTCTAAGACAACTTTTCTTTCTAACATTTCTAGAAGTTGAGGTCAAACATCAAGATGACGACAGACTGGAAACCTCGGGAGGAAGAGATTACTTAGTGGTTCAGCCTGTCACCTGCACTCTATGTCCTCACAGTGAAGAGAGCAAGAGAACTCTGAGGTTTTCACTGCAATGGCATTAATCCTATTACCAAGGGCAGAGTTCTCATCTTCATTAGCCCCAGTCTTAGTTACTTTTCCAGTTGCTGTCACAAAAAAAAACTTGACAAATAAAACTTAAGGAAAGAAGAGTTTATTACATATCTCGTAGTTCAGGGGTCCAGTCAGTCCCTCCCAGCTGGGAAGTGATGGCAGCAGGAGCTTGAGGTAGTTGGTCACATTGTAACTACAGTCAGGAAACAGAGCAACGAATGGCCCTCCTTTTCTTCATTTTACCCTCTGTAGGACCCCAGCCCATGGAATAGTACTGTCCAAAGATTCACTGGTCTTCCCATCTCAGCTAACCTATGCAGACAATCCCTTACAACTATGTCCAGAGGTCTGTCTCCTAGGTGATTCTTGATTCTGTCAAGCTGACAATATCAACCAACACATCTCCCAGTCTCCTCTTTTTTATATCATCATATGAATGATAAATTTAAATATATGAAATTGACAGCAGGAACAAATATTCAGTCCTCACCAAAAAGGTTCTAAGACATGGGTTAGTACAAATTAAGCTAGCAAAGGAATTACATTAGTGATTTATAAACATGTATTTTCATTTCTTCTATATAAACACCTTGGAGTAGAATTTTTGAATCATGGAGTACATTTAACTTTGTAAGAAATTGCAAAAAAGTTTTTTGGGGTTTTTTTTGGTTTTTTTGTTTTTGTTTTTTCGAGACAGGGTTTCTCTGTGTAGTTTTGCGCCTCTCCTGGAACTCACTTGGTAGCCCAGGCTGGCCTCGAACTCACAGAGATCCGCCTGCCTTTGCCTCCCGAGTGCTGGGATTAAAGGCGTGCGCCACCACAGCCCGGCTGCAAAAAAGTTTTTAAGAATAGTTGCCATTTTGTACATTCACCAAAAATTCCTGAGAACTAGATTTTTAATTTTGCCGTTTCTAATGAGTGTAAAGTACTATCTCCTCATGCATTACTGGATATTGTATCCTTTATTGCAATATCTCATCTTTAGCTTCTGAGTCTTTTTAATATCAGTATGTAGGAGTTCCTTATACACTGTAGACATAAGTCTCTTCTTGGAAATGTTTAATGTGAAAAATAAAAATTGTGTCAGGGTTGCCACTAAAGCCCTGACAACTCTAAGATGTCCATCACCAATTGTAGGATATATTCCAACATTAAGTCATGACACATAAGTTTACATTAGTTCAATAAATATGCAATGATTTACTCAACTAAACAAAGAGTATGACCAAAGTGCTACATATACAGTACTATTAGTTTGGCTACTCTACCAATTATCAACCTGTCATCTTCTATTACAATTCCTCTTATGCCTGAGAAGTATCAGTTAATGATAGCCATGACTAGATAGAAGATAATTTAGGATCTCAAAGAAAACAAGGCAAAAATTAGCCCTTTAAGTTATACCCAAAATCTTAACAGAACAAACAACAGTATTTTATTTCTATGCCTCTAGTTTGCCCAAGTAGTTTAGTTAACATAGCGGCACCTGGAGGGACAGTACATCAGACAGTTAAATATGAGAAAAAGTTTTATCTCCTGTCTATCAAACTTTAAATGTGTTCCTAAAAAATGAATTAAACTATTTAATAGTAAATCTAACCATGTTTATT